GTGCACATTTATGTGACCCAAATCCAAATCTCAACGATGTTCAAATATGTCAAAAACCACGGGTGCATTTATGTGACGTGGTTCGAGACGTGTTTTAATAACATTGCAATTTTCTTTAAAAAATGAATAAAAGCAGTTATAAAGTTAAAATTACACATAGGTTCGAAATGTTTTAAAATCAGAGAGTTAAGCCGAATATAATAGTTGAGCGACCGTACTAGAACCACGAAACTCGGGAATGCCTAATACCTTCTCGGTTAACAGAATTCCTTACCCGAATTTCTGTGTTCGCAGACTATAATACAGAGTCAATATTTTCCTCGATTTGGGATTCGAACCGGTGACTTGGGACACCATAAAATATCCCAAGTGGCGACTCTGATTTTTTAAAATAAATAATCCCGTTTCGATCGTCACTTAAATTGAAAAATAATTCCCCTATACCCCTTACGGGGGTGTGGTAAAAAGGAGACGTGACACTCGTCGATGAATGAAATGGTCCCCTCTGGGAAATAATCTCGGATTCGGTTTCCCTCGTGATAGACACATGGTGAGCTTTAGCATTGGTCCCTAGAGACGCTGACTCCACCAATAATCATGTTGATGACGTGCTGAGGTTCCTCATGTTCGGTCTGTTTGTTGGAGTCCCTATTCCTGAAGTGATTTTTGAATCGATCACTCATAAATTCTCGGAGATGCCCGTTATTGAACAACCGGGCCACTTCTTCTCTCAATTGCCGACAATCCTCGATTCTATGGCCGTGAGTGCCATGGTACTTACACATCAAGTTAGGGTCTCTCTAGGTAGGGCCGAACTGCAATGGTCGAGGGCATTTGGTATCTTTGATGCGCCCGATGGAAGATGCGATGCTAGCAGCATCGACACTGAAGTTGTATTCCGATAACCTCTGTGCCTCCCTGGACCCGAGTGGCCTATCGAAACTGTTTTGCTCATGAGTCCCTGACTTTTGTGGCTTCGATCATTCCTTTTTTCGTTTCTCACAGGGTTACGCCTAGATCCGTTACCCTTTGGTCCCCATTATACGGTTTATATCGGTCTCTGTTCGGTCTCGGTTCATGATCGACGATTCTCTTAGACTTATCGTTAGTTCTAATGGGATAGACGGACCCAAAGGGAGGCCAAGATGATCGTGCCCCTCATACTCTTCTTTCCATTTTTGGGTCGCTCTTCTTATCTGTCGTATCCCCAGATCATACCTTTGCCAAGATAACCTTTGAGGTACCTCAAGATCCTGTATACTACATGTAGCTCGACTCTGATTTTTGATTGGTACCTGTTATAGACATCAACCCAAGTTACCGCCGGGTATTCTATCAAAATTTGTTTCAACTGTTGTGAAGCCAAAAAGTTTTGGGGGTTGAGCCCTTGGATGAACGCCTGAACGACCCAATCATCCGCGACCGGAGGCAGATCTATTCGTTCCATTTGAAACCTCGACACGAATTCCCTGAGATTTTGTTATGTTTTTGTTTTACTTTGAAAAGGTCTGATTTCCTGGTCTCGACCTTGATGGTCCTGGCATGCGCTTTTACAAAGGCATCTACAAGCATAGTAAACGAATCAATAGAATTAGGAGATAAGTTGTGATACCATATCGTTGCTCTTTTTGACAAGGTTTCCGAACTTTTTCAGCAAAACCAACTCGATTTCGTCATCTTCTAAGTTGTTTTCCTTGATGGCACATGTGTAGGATCAACTCTGGAGCTATTGATTCTCTTTTCCCCCGATTCCAGACGCTTCGTCAGTTCCTCAAAAATCTTAATGGTTTAAGGGTTGGTCCCGGGCTCAGCTTCACTCGGCCTCTCCATGACTTGCTCAGTCCTTTAGGTGTTTTTCTAGGATTGTTCGGGTTGAACCCTGCTGGGGGCGCGACTTTGGTTCTGCAGCTGCGTTATCACCTCCTGTTGAGCTTGTAACATTTTGAAGATCACCCGCAGATTAATCTCGTCGCCTTCACCTTCGGGCGTAGCTCGAGTCGTTGGTCGGGCTCCCCCGCGAACATTGTTCTCAGGGTCGGTCGGTAGGTTGGCGTCGATGGCCACATGCGAGTTGCATCGATTGGGTCTGTGACCGGGGCTCTGTTGGGATCAGCAGGAGGCACCTCGTTGCTAGGTGCTATATTGTTGTCTTCGCCATGATGGCCAAACTCAATATCAACGTTGAAGTGAGCAGATTGAGAGTTCGGCACCCTTAGGTAGATCTGAAATTAAAATCTTAAGGAACAAGCATAAATTATAGTGTGTTATGGAAATTTGTATCAAACTACCACTATTATCCTTAGCGCCACGTACGGTGTTTTGTTTGAGCTTTAATACGGGCGGATCCCGGCTTCGATCTCGACTACACGCAATTATGTCCTCTCTTCGTTCGCCCCACCGGCAAATCAGGCTGCTCGTTACCTCCGATTTTACCATATACATGCTCAAATCTAAAACTTTTAATTAAGGGTGGAAGGATTTTATCCATTCCACCACAATTCTTGGCCATAACTTTAACGTACTTTTTCGCGTACATTCACGGCCATAAAATAACACATAACTCCCAATGCCACACTGTCATCGTGTCGAAGGTTAAATTAGGTCTACTGGTGTTTGAATGTCTTACTTGTTACGACTTACGCGGAATTATAATGCATGAATCGTTTACATGGTATCTAATAATGAAATAATTATTGTTATACAAGAATTACTTACTGTAAAGTCATTTATCGTCTTTAAATAGTCTTATAATCCCCGTAATGTTAATATACGTATTCTTATTCCATATTTATCTATTATAAAGTAATACATAAAGTGAATAAGAGTATCATTTGATACCGCTAACCGAACGCTTGATTAATAATGGGACAGTTATTTTTTCTTCTGTGACCAAACAATTGTTATATTATTTTATACATGAATTTAAATTGGGGTTAGTTATACCACCATACAATTATGAATCAAACGACTCCTACATAACAATTGCTTTCGACTCGAACACAATGTATTGTTTCTGCACCTACAGCGCCTTAAAGTTCTAACTCTATCCAATTGATTGATTTTAAAAGATTTGCTTATTTTACACACTATTGCTATATAGGAATATTAAATGATATTAAGAAATATGCAAAGTTTGTGCATTATTGATTTAGAGTAGTGAGTTTACTGATACTCTGCGCCTTATTGCCTTAACCATAATCGGCCTAAGCTGTAAATTCTATGAATCAATTATTTCCGGATGAATAATGTGTATATTATGTAACTTTATTCTGCTATAGTCTGCATATTGAAAGCTACAAATAGCAAATAGATTGTGACAAAAAGATGTAGCAGTAATAAAGCCCAAAGACTTTGAGTGCAAAGACGTAAATGGAAGATTTTTTATTTTTTTTTACTTTTAGCCCGCATCATAAACTATTTACATTTTGTAGCTGAAAAAATATACATAAAATTTGTATAATTTTTATATATAACATAAATAATATATATATATATATATATATANATATTATGCTGGACCAGTATACTTTGTTGTTTCCAGTATAATATACTGAAGACTGGAGCACCGGTGCTCCAAACTCCAGTATATTATATTGGACAATTATACTTGCTGGAACTCCAGTATATTATGCTGGAGTTTTAGTGTACTTATCCTGAACTCCAGTATAATATACTGGCGTATTTTCCGGGTTTTGAACAGTATTTTCGCTCAGATTTATCTTTACATGAAAAGTGACTAAATTTCGATTACTTTTGAAATTGGGCTATTTTTGAACGACCAGTTATAAATCTGGCTATTTTTGAATTTCTCCCCTATATTTCCTAGTTCTGCAAGTGGTGGACCATGAGATGGACTAAAGGCCTTCAGTAAGTACTGAGCCCATTTCTGGAATGGCCTAATCTGCCTTCAGCAAGGGTGATTTGCAAAAATAGAATTTTTTGATGCCAGCATTTAAATTTGACATCATTAAGAAATATTTTGAAAAAATAACCTCTACACTAGCCTTAACGACACATTATGATGATCGTTCGAATTTCTGGTCAAATCCTGGTGATCGCCATAACTTATTGCGTAGAAGTTCACCAACACAACATATTTTAAAGTGTACATCTTAAGAAAGTTATTCAGTTTTATGTATGAATTAGTCAAAATTTTCTTAGAAGATTTGGTTTAATACAAGCATTTGAATAAGATCTTTAATGAGAAGTACTACCCACGGTTGCTTGCTGAATTACAATTTTATCCTTTTTGTGTATGATATGGTAAGAATTGGTGCGAAATGACTAATATACCCTGGAGCTTTTTTAAAATGACATGAAACAGACATGTCGAAACTCTTTCTCTTCTATATAATAGAAAGAAAGAACCACTAAAATATATAATCCAATCACCCTTTATATATAGCCCGATTAATTTAAATTTAACGTTGAATATAATAATCCATTAAATAGGAAAGCTTCGTACCAGGGGTTTCTCCATTTATAGGTCTTGAATTTGATGAATATATAGAGGCTGAAAAATTCTTTTCTTTTTCTTTTCCAACACTCGTGTTATATATAGTCTTTGAATTTTCATTATTCTCACAACTTCTCTACTCTATGCCTCTCTGAACAACTACAAGATACATGGATTTTACAAAGTAAGCCAAAATAAACAAATAAGAAAGAGAAAAATTTGTAGTGCAGATAATTTATTTCTTTAAAAATTAATCCATTCAGAGCCATCAATAAAGCTAAGTGAAATAAAAGGCTTAGCTTCTTGATCAGTTAGTTCTCTGCACCACGAAACTCTTCCTGCAAAACTTGCCCCTGGTCCACTACATTTGTATTGCCCAAAAAATACAGTCCTGTCCAGAAAAGTAACATTAATTATCAATAATAAAAAGACAAATGGAATTAAATAAAAAATAATATTATCTGTATGAAGATCTGAATTAGTCAACGATTACTACTTAAGCATAACCAATTAGTTGTATGTATATGATACATTATCTGCATGCAAAAGGTCATTAATTTCTCCCAATTAAGCTAAACATATCCTAAAAGAACAACTTTATTTTTTTTTGGTATATAGTGGCTTTTTAGCATACCCCTTTACATGTTGTGCGCTACATGTGGATTACAGTTGATAATTTACAATAGACTTGCATTTAGTAGCGGAGCCACGTGTATTCAACACTTGTCGGAAATTATATTGTATAGTTTTTTTTTATTTTATATATGTATATATACTATATATTAATACCCTTTGGCTTCTTCTTGGGTCTACTTTAAATTTTGACCTCCTTTTCGTTAAAATCCTGGCTCCGCCACTGCACATGATCATATATGCAACTCTCAACCATGGATGTGAGCATTCTCACGGCTTTCTGCTCGAACTATATGTTAGGCAATATTTTAAAATGTATACTGACTGCAAATTTTAGATCTGCATCTGTATTTTCATGTTTAATTTTTCTTCAAAATATGTCACAAATTATTACCTAATCATTTGATATTCGAAATTTACTTGTCGAATTAATCCGAAGTTGCATTATCAATAACTTTTCTTTATCCAGTTCGAACTGATGGCCCCACTAAAAAATGATGATTGATGACAATGTGTATATTATTAAAGGATGATGAACAAATTTGTATGGAGATAGTGGAATAGTGAAGCTAGTGCTACTCTGGAAAAGGTTAATATGACAAATTTCCAATACCATTTGTGTAGATAGGTAACAGAAAGAACAGATAAAAGGGACAGTCACCGTCCCACGCCAACTAGTATATATTATAGCAAAAAGGTAATTCTATAATTAATTTTGCGCTTTATAAGCTTAGCCACACATTAGCATGTAGATATGTTAAATTTGGTTTTTTTTTTTTTGGCAAGAAAAAAAAAACTTATCTAGAGTCTAGACTCTATTATTTAATGAAAAAGTGTAAGGCCGTCCACATTTTAGATCAAAAGGTTAAATATATATTTTTTTAAAATAAGGTAGGACTTGCACCATCTATTGAGTGGTATTAAAAGGGCAATTTTTTGAAGAAAAAAAAAAGTTTAGATCAATGAATATGTCATGAGTCAACCTGTTTAAAGTTTATTTGGATTAGCAAATTGAGGAATAAGTTAAAACGCTTTTTCCTGTTTAGTATATCCAAAAATTGATATATTTCTACATTTTAGTACTCTTTAGTCAATAGCGGAAGCATAATTTTCATCAAGAGAATTTAAAAAGTAAAATAGTAAAAAATACAAAGATACCAAGCGGATTCAATATCTAATATACACACATAAAAAAAATTAACCTTAATGTAATTTTCTGGCGGAAAATGGTTCATGCGACGAAGGGGGTTCGGACGAACCCTCTTCTGCCCACTAACTGTAGCCCGGTCTTTATAGCTTTAAAACTTGCATTTTAACCTAAATGACATATTGATATAGCCATAGAAATGTCATCTAGGACCAGAGGCAAAGTCATGATTTGAAAGTGGCAGGAAAACCGCTTTCGAATAAGTATTTGAGGAAATGCTGGAGTCGGAATCGAACTTAGGTAGCATATACTAAAAGTTAAGTTGTGCCCCTCTCCCTAAATCGACTAATATAGCTGACTAAGATTTGAATCTTAGGATACCAATCAAAATATATACATGTTATTTAAGATATATACACATATGTACATATATTTTTTCTGAAATTACCAGGGTCCATGACCCCTTACCTAAAGGGCAGGTCCGTCTCTGTCTAGGACTACAAGTTTTAAGTGTGCTAGCTCTTGATATGCATCAAAAAAAGAATTTGTACGCAGTTAAACACCGACATATAAAATGAAACAGAGGACGAAATAGCTAATAGTAGAAGGAACTTACATTTCACGAAGGGGGTCACCCCAATTATGCCAACCTTTAGGGATGATAATATTGTCCATATAAGTGTAAGCAAAGACAACCCTAGAGAAGGGACCCCAAGCTCTTCCAAGGTACAAAGCACCAGAACCCGTGACTTTACAGTTGACAAAGCTAAAGCCAGTGTCCTCCAACATACTGCTTCTTCCTTGTGCTGTTACTGCCCCTGTCACTGGTGCTATTGCGTGCAAATGACATCCCTGAATGATTTAACAACACACACCATCAAATCGGTACTGGCAGACTCAGGATCTTTAAGTCATGGACAGAGACAAGACGGATCCAGGATTTGTAGGTTTCGGGTACTGTTTTGAAAGTACAAGTGTTGCTATTTACACTATTCAAATAGACTTACATCTAATCGATTTGATCAACTTTGGCTTCGGTTCGAGTTATTCTTTTCAAATTAAATGCACAAATAATATTCCAATTATTATATAAAAAAAATTCGTTCATAGATCAGTGCATCAACTGATCAAGCTTATATGCAAAGTTTCAACTCAGCCAAGGCGGCCGGTTGGTGTGGCACCCAAGGGTGGAGCTAGCCCATCGAGTACGGGTTTGATCGAACCCAATCATTTTGGTCCAATCCATATATTTATCTTACCAAATTCATTCAATATGTACAAATTATTAATTTAGAACTCATTAACTTAAAAGGATTAGAACCCCGAACCCATAAACTTCAAATATTGGCTCCGCCTTTGCTGACAACAGTACCCTCAGGGGCGGAGCTAAAGTATCGGGAGTGGGTTTCGGTCGATACTAATAGCTTTAGTTCGAACCATATATTCGTCTTAAAAAATTCATTGAATATATATAAATTATCAATTTAGAATTCAGTAACTTAAAATGATTAGAATCCTGAACTCATAAACTTAAAACTCTAGCCTCGCCTCTATCTAGCTTTGTATATAGATTCCCCCTGGTCGTGGGGGTTCAACTGTCTTTAACTGGACTTTCTATTCTGAGATTGGATGCCCAGTCGATATCTTTGTGTATTATTTCTAGCTTCAAACATAAAAATATAATGTTTTGAGTAAAATATAATGGGTGCTCAAGCACCCATTAAGTTCAATGTAGGTCCTCTGTCGGACAACATTGAGTTTAGGTGTAAATTATTTTTTATATTAGTAATGCAATTTAATTGATTATTATTACTCTATTTTTTTTGCAAGTTATCCTATATTAGACTTTAGTTGTCTATTATTCCTAAGTTTTTCATGGTTCTATTTACAGAAAAAATCACCATAGAGGAGACAACTGATTCCCTAGATATACAGATAAGAGTATAGATGTGAACATATAAAGAAATTGATTCTGAAACTATTTCTCTTATGAGGAATCTGACATTATTATGTCTACAATTATTTCAGCTTCTATTTTTTTTTCTTTGTACCGTAATATTTTTCGTATAGTCTATGAATATCTAAAGGTTAACTCCAACATCAAAATTAATTTAGTCCAATATAACTTCAAATCAAATGCTCTTGATAAACAAACAATGCCAAACAAATTGAAATGGAGGGAGCATATACTGATACATAGAGCCTATAGAATATTCCATAACACATAGGTGGATTCTTTTTTTTTTTTCTTTTCCCAATTTAAAAATGTAGATGAAAAATGCCTTCAGATAATTGCTATACATCCCAAAAAAGAAGAGAGACCATATAGAGCAAGTATCTCATTCAATAGAAAGATAGTAGCAATAAGGGAAAGCTTTATCAAAACTCTCAATTCTCAAGTTGTTGGTGGAAATGTTAATCAGCAATCCTCCACTTCCATTTCCATGTTTTATATAAAGTCAATCACACCTTTTATCACTAAAGGGCAAGCCGGTGCACTAAACTTGTTGAATTATGTCAAATTTCCATCCCACATCGGTGGGTTAAGGAGTTGGTGGGAAACTTTT